GGGCTGCGGAGGGAAAAGCTCGGGCAAAGCGTTGGGCCTGGTGGCTCTCCTGGCGTCGCCAGTGTTGCCAGAGGTCGTTCGAAAGTCTGGGCAAACGGTCGGAATGGAAATAAGAAAACAACAGTATGGAAGGTGGGGTAATGTTTGAAAGCGTAGGTTTTCAGAATTTGCGTGGGTGAAGATAGATGCTGCCTTTTTGTCAAGATGTTGTCTTACATTTATTCATTCTGTTATTCAAAAGAATAAAAGAAATCTGTAAGATGATTTGCCTTTTATTGACTTTCAGTTGTCTAATTTGTTTTCATTCCTGTATTAATTAGAACGAATATATTTACATTTAGCTTCCGGTAGAGTGATGTTAACTAATTGACTGTGAGGCTGATGAGAAAACAGGAGCATCAACTGATGGCGGCTGCTAGGAGTGAGAAATAGCTCTCCAAGAAGCCAGTTTGTGAAAAGATAAGAATTTGACACAGAATCCATTTATCGACTGTTACCAAATCCATTTATCGACTGTTACAGGATCTGTTAGCTACTCAGGTTTCACTTCTTTTAGTTAAAACATGTACATTTTTGGATAATGATTGCTTGTAGCATCTGTAACTAAATAGCCATTATTCATATGCATGTTAAGTATTAACATGTCTTAGTAAAATCTGAGTTCACGAGAATGAGGAGTAAGGTTGGTGTACATGTTTGGCATAAGCTTTTTGACCAAATAAAATTACCCACAAAAGAGTCTTTTTATATTGTATCTATTTTTGATTGAACAGGCTACATATATACTTTAAAATAAACATAAAATAAGTATGCATGTTAAAGTATGTAATTTGGCTTTAATGTATGTGTGATTTCTCACACACTCTTGGCAGAAACTGCATTTGACATTTTTGGCAGAATCTGTCTTTGTTCCCCCTAATTTATTCTTGATAGTGGAATTAATTGTTGGTAATAACCTTGTTAAAAACCTACTGTGACTCTGCCAGCGATTGCCATGGAACAACCCCAAAATCTAAATTTAATAGCAATCTAAATAAAAATAGTTGAGTCTGAAACAATTTCCTTTGCCCTGTAATGCTCAACACATCACCATGCCAAGGACGGGACTTAAAAATCCATCGCATTCTCTCTCTGTCATTTCAGTTGGACGCATTGTCTTTGAATTATTTGCTGACGTTGTACCTAAAACTGCAGAAAATTTCCGTGCGTTATGTACCGGAGAGAAAGGAACAGGGCCTACCACTGGAAAACCTCTCCATTATAAAGGATGTCCTTTCCACAGAAGTAAGTCCTATGAAATCCTCCGTTTTCCTGTTGGTAAAAAAGTCCTCTGTCAGTATTTGAAATAATGTTAAATAGTATTTTGGAGCACTTGCTTAAGAAATAACTTGACTGAAAGTAAGTTTTTGAGTTTTTGATCCTCCTGGGAACTAGATGTTCTTACCATGCATTGACAATAGTAAATTATAAATCTACTAGTAAGATAGTAGTAGTAAAACTAGTTGTGAACATACTGAAATAGATTTCAGGTAAAGGATTAAATATCAAGTGATGTTCACTTAACTGAAAAGGAGTACTTAGGGGACACTTGATAAATAAAAGGTGTTTTTTGTTTTTATTTAGGCACAGGTGCTGATGACAGGGATTGCTCTTCACCTCTGAATTGTTTTCCTTTGTGCCTTTCCTGCCTTGTTCCTATATTTTATGATTATTTTCTTTTACAGTTATTAAGCAATTTATGGTCCAGGGTGGAGACTTCTCAAACCAGAATGGCACAGGTGGAGAAAGTATATATGGTGAAAAATTTGAAGACGAAAACTTTCATTATAAGGTACTGTATTGAAAATACTAATTCTATTCAGTTTTTGAAGTTTCAGTTATTTTTATTCAAGTTCAGAATTAGTGCTCTTTAGTCCAAGGTTAATGTATTTTTAAGCAGTGGAAAGAATGCAGCAGAAAAGCCCTGAACTAGTTTGTCCTTAAAGTCTTTCTTGAGTACATACAAAATGAGGTCAGCCTCATTAAGACAGAGACAACCATAGTTTAGATTTTCTTTTTAATTGCCCCATCAGAAATTAATTTGAAACAATATTTTAGTTCTCATCAAAGGGATATTATTTTAAAAGAGTGGCAAATTTTGGCACTTTTGCAGCACGTTAGCATTACATAGATCTTATGCCTTTTTTTTTTTTCATGTCCCAATAACATTCGTAGGACTAGTTGTGAGAAATACCTTTATTAAGAAGCAGGTAATCCGTGGTGGATTGCAGAACTAATCCAGAGGGAAATTTAAAAGAAAGTGTTTTCCCAGCTGCAGTTATTTTCAATGATATGAGAAGTAAAAGGCTGTTTACAAATGGCTTTTTTTTCACCCAAAATGTTGGAAAAAATGTGCTGTGAACAAAGCAAGTTTTTGAATATGCAAAGGTCTCTGTTTGAGGATGTCAGTTTAAGAGACGCTGGCTTTGATGGCAGAAATTCCTACCCCTGCCATTACTTATTCCCCCTCCTCTGTCAAAGCTCACTACATCATTACTAGCGACCATCAGTGCAGTCCCACAAGCAGCTGTGTCAGCCCAGCTGCGGGAAGAGAGGAGGGAGCTGTGCTGCCAGAGCAGGAAATTCTAAAACCATCTTTGTCCTCAAAATCAACATCTAGTGGCACCAGGAAGACTGCAGGTGCATGTGCTTTACACACAACGACTACAATTTTTAAACAGCTGATTTCTCAGAGTGTGTCCTGTGTCTTGTCTTGTTTGTTTTGCAAAGGCATAACCTTCAAAATGTCCATTACCATTCTTCAGGCTTCTCTTTGACATCAAAATCAAATGCAGTTGATGCCTCCGGTGTCTGTTTTTTGACATGAGATTGGCTTCTTTTTTATGTTTTTGAAGACAAAGTGGCTACTGTCTGTAGTTTTAAATTTTTTTTACTGTCTGTAGTTTTAAATTTTTTTTTTTTTTTTTAAGCATTTTAGTTCTATCTTTCTTTAAAAATGGCTGTTCCAGAAAGGGAAGAAGACTGCTTTTTACCATACTTTCCAGCAGGTCTGTGTACCTTAAGCCTACAATTTATACAGTATTTGAAGATCTCCAAATTTAAGTATTGCCTGTACACTGTGACTTACATTTTTTTGGCTGGCAGACTTAGCTGTTCTGGAGAGAAGTGGCAACCATAGTAATTGCTCTGAGTGCCCATCTGTGTTCTCACCTTTATGTAAAGGACTGTGTGGCTGGAAAACATCCCCTGTGCTTGAACTGTCAGTAATCACCTCGTGAACCTGGGTGGGAGTACTTCTTGGAAACAGCAAAAGTGACGTGTTCTACAAGAACCCCTGACAACAGCTAGGGCACCCACTGCTATAGGTGTAACAGTTCTCAGCATTGGCATTAATCATTTTCGTGCTGTGGTGTTATGTGATAGCGTATGAATGACTCCTCAACAACCCTGACTAAAATCCGTACAGACATCGTTGTCCTGTGGTTAAAGCAAAGCCCTGACTGCAATTGTGCTTGCCTCCAAATAGTATTTTAGGAAAAGAAAATACAGCAATTCTCCACTAATTGGGCGTTGAAGTCCATTACCAAGTTTGGAGCAATAGCTGGAAATGTAGCTCCAGCATTGATCATAGAGCTACTTAGAGTTGTGAGAGATGTTCTCTGAAGTCTACACTTGCTATGGTGGTGCCCATAGCGCTGCTGCCTAAAGTTATTCTTCTGCATTGGTCATAGAATCATAGAACCATAGAATGCATTGGGCTGTAAGGGACCCCCAAAGGTCATCTAGCCCTGCAGTGAGCAGGGACATCTTTAGCTAGATCAGGTTGCCCAGAGCCCCGTCAAGCCTGATCTTGAGTGTCTCCAGGGATGGGGCCTCTACCACCTGTCTGGGCAAACTGTTCCAGTGCTTTACCACCCTTACGGTAAAGAACTTCTTCCTAATACACAATCTAGATCTTGCCCGTTTCTAGTTTAAAACCATTACCCCTCGTCCTGTCGCTAGGTGCCCTTGTAAACAGTCCCTCCCCACCTTTCCTGTAGGTCCCTCTCAGGTACTGGAAGGCTGCTATAAGGTGTCTCCAGAGTCTTCTCTTCTCCAGGCTGGACAACCCCAACTCTCTCAGCCTGTCCTCATAGGGGAGGTGCTCCAGCCCTCTGATCATTTTTGTGGCCCTCCTCTGGACTCGCTCCAACAGGTCCATGTCCTTCTTGTATTGAGGGCTCCAGAGCTGAATGCAGTACTCCAGGTGGGGTCTCACCAGAGCAGAGTAGAGGAGGAGAATCACCTCTCTTGATCTGCTGGCCACACTTCTCTTGATACAGTCCAGGATCTCTAGCTCCCTGAAGAAGGAGACTTTGTGTCATCGTTACTTTTTAGTTGTACTGCAGATGAGATCTGGAGGTAATTATGAGTGGAATGCAAATGATCCCTGTTTCTGTACTTCTCTGACTGCTCAGCTATTACAAAAGTTGTCAATGTGCCAGTGATGAGTTGAAGAACGCTTTTGGATCTTGTACAGAGTCTGAGCGCTCCATTCCCATCATCTCTTGGCGAAGTATGTTAGTGGGAGTTAAAATGCCTCTACTAAGTAGAAATTCACTGGATCTTTCACTTCATCTAGCTGTCCTGCAAAGTGTCCTCAAACCACTGTCCTGGACAACAGTTGTTTTTGTTAACACTTGAGGACACTGGAGCTACCTTTTTGTTCTTGTGTTGTGTGTATGGTTTCCTGTAAATTGCAATAAACTGCAAGACTTTGTCTGTAGTCAGCTGACCATGTCAGATCATCCTGCTAGGCCTTTTTTGGTGTCACTTCTCCAGCTAGTGGCTGTGCTGTTGTGGAACATACAACTTGCACAGTCCTCAAGCAGTGTTGTTACCGTGGCATAATTTTGCAAGCCTTGAGTGTCAGAGAATCTGATTTTGTAGAGACTTTTTTACTTGCTTTATAAACTTACAAAACAACAAGCAGAAGCCATCACGGAAAAGACACTCCATCTGCAGTGTTTTTCAAAACACTCATGGCAAGAAAATGCATGAGTGACAACAGTTTTGTTTATAAATAGGGACTCTCATCATGGGACTAACATTGAGACTTGGTCCCAAACAAAATGGGGTTGCATGTAAGTGTGAAGATTGGAGCCACCAGGCTGCTGTCTGTAACTTTCCAAGTTGTCCTCCAAATCTTTGTAGACAAAAGGTAAACCTGCAGGTGTAAGGCAACACCAGAGCCTGGTTACATGGCTCTTTGTTTACAAACCATTGCTGACTAGCATCAGTTGTAATTGAAACAAAAAAAAAGTAGTAAGGTTTACAGGTGTTATTCTGCCTTTTGGGCAGTGAATCGGTGACCAGCCTCAAACCTCTGTGATGGTTTCTGCTTGCAAAAATCTCCTGTGGGGGGAGCCCTTCTGATTGTTTTGTCAGCCACTGTGACACAAAATGTCAGGTGTTTGTTCTGGAGGCTGCGTTCCTGCAGGCTTGCTAGCAGATGCCTTGTCTTGCTGTGGAAAACAGGATTCTTCTGTCGTTTGCCATCTGATTTCCAGGATGACTTTCAAGATTAGAAGAGACAAAGCCAAGATTGTTCCAGTAGCTTTCTGTTGGCTGGGTGCAATTCTAGCTTTCAGGTGTACAAGCTTTCCCAGAGTTCCTGAGCCAAATCCTAGTTGAACGATTCAGACTCACTGTGCTGTATGACCGGATGAACACCTCAGTCAAGGAGTTCTCTCTACCACCACAGAAATCCAAAGATTGTATGGGAGAATGGTTTTCAAAACAGCAGGTTCTTCGAAGTGGTAGAGATCATAGGCACAAACCAGATGCTTAAATACAGCTGTCTCAGACTAATCAACCTCCTGTCAATCTCTGAGGTCTACTTCACAGTAATTTCTGCTTCCATTTCCTCTATGCTGGCATACTTTTTTACTTTTTTTTTTTTTTTCTTCTACCCTCTTCCCCACAGTATCAGGTTTCCTAGGAATACCACAGCTTGCATGCTTCAGACATGTGACGTGTGTCTTAGTATAACATGCTGGCTTAACGTTAAACAGAGTTCCTTGCACTTAATAACCGGATCAGCTGGGGGAAGAACAATACCTTAATGGCTGTGTCATGCCAGTTTAACAACAAGAGAGTCACAACACATATGAAAAGTACATTTTTGCAGTACAAGTGAAAATGAAATAATCTCTGTGATGGAGCAAGATAATTTGTATTTCAAAGAAGGAAAAAGTGCTTACAGGAAACAAGATACGGGCTGTTCAATAAATTTTTCTTAGTTTGTGGCCTGGTAGCATCAGCCAAAATAATTAGATGGTTGAAAATCCCCACAGAATAAAAACTGTCTCTCTAGGAAAATGAAGGAATTAAAAAAAAAAAAACAAACCACCAACCTTTAAGTAATAAAGACCACAGTCCCCTAAAACCCACAGTTCTACAACATACTTTGTGTGAGTAGCTCTTAAAAATTAACAGTACATACCCAACTTGAGAGTGTAACATTAAAGTTGGTGTTTAGCTTTGTTTCTTAAGGCCAGTGGTCTTGAGTAATCCAGTGAGGAACTTCACATGTCTCTCAGGTGATCTGTCTAAACTCAGCAGACGTGCAGGGGACTGAGTGTACAAGAAGCAGACTGATGTTACAGCATCGAGTCACACATGTGGCTCTGCGTGCTGGGCTGCTAGGTGGCAAGAAAGGTGCAGAGATGGGCATTTGCCCTCTTCAGTCATGACAGGTAAAATTAGCTGCCAACCGTATGTGACTGCCTGGTTTACCAAGTTGTCCTTATGACTGTCCTTGCTATATATATTAATAGCCTTACAGAATCTTATGTATGGTTTTATAACAGATCTTTTGTATGTTGATGGTGTTTTTTTTTTTTCCCCCAATGCAGCATGATAAACCAGGGCTGCTGAGCATGGCAAATGCAGGACCCGGTACTAACGGCTCTCAGTTCTTTATTACAACGGTGCCTACTTCTCACCTGGATAGGAAACACGTGGTGTTTGGCCAAGTGATCAAAGGAATGGGTGTAGTTAAAATGTTAGAAAACGTTGAAGTAAAAGGAGAAAATCCTGCTAAGGTAACCAAAAACCAAAGCACTTAGCGATGATGTATATTCGTTTCTTCTAAATGCTTGGTGTGATGTTTAGAACTATTAAATATTAGCCAGTTATTTTTACTAACAGTGTTTCCATTTTACTGTCCTTGTAAGAGGCTTTTGTTCTTTTGCTGTAAATTTCCCCTGCACAAAAAATTGATGTATTGTTCAACACAGCTGTGAGAGTGGAAGCCTTCATCAGGGTGAAGGTGGAAATGCACATCAGGGTGGGTGATGAAATGAAAAGGTGGAATTCACAACCCTACCTAAGTGATATGTAATTTTTGAGAATTTTATGTCAGAAGTTGTTGTATTTCTGGAAGAGCAATCGGTGCGTAGATCACGTCAGTTTGTGGTGGTTTGGAAAATTAATACCTCTGTAACTTCAGAAGACTTGGCAGCTTAAGAGAGAATGGTCTTCTCTGATGTAGTAGAACTGCCATGTCTTGTGTTTTGCTGCAGCTGAGCTTGCTGTCAGTTGCTTTTCCAGCCTCTTCATGGAGTGTGGGTATGGTGTTCTTGGGATGCCGCTCCTCTGAGCGCAACGCTTTCTGTGATAAAAGCCTTTGGATGAGGATAGGCTAACGATCTGCTGGGTTTCTGAAATCCATGCACCCAAACAGCAGCTGAAAGAGCATTTTTACTGAATTTCATAGAGCACTCAGAAGTTGTGGCTTTTTTTTGGGAAATGGTCTTAATAAGCCATACTGCTGTTCACACTTTATTTTTTCAGTTGTGCGTCATTGCAGAATGTGGAGAGCTAAAGGAAGGAGATGATTGGGGAATTGTTCCCCAGGATGGATCTGGAGATTCTCATCCAGATTTTCCTGAAGATTCAGATATAGACTTGAAAGATGTAAGTATTTTTCTTTTAAGGTATTTTACAGAATGCAAGACTTGTAGGTAATCTGAGTAACATGGTATCTGTGATGATGTTCACCAGGCCTTTTTTCTTAAGAATCAATCAAGTCCTGATTAAATGGTGACATTCAGTTTTAGGAAAGAGAATGCTGTGGGAGGGGATTGCTGTCTCTTTTTGTTTTCAGTGCTAATTGCAGCTGATTGTTTTCTCCAGTAACTAAAACCACAATTACAATTATCACACTGCTTTTTTTCCTGTTCTTTGTTTCCTTGTACTTTTGTTTGTGCTGTAGTGACAAGTTGCAGTTACTAGAACTCCATCCTGCAGGTGACTAACTTGGTGTTGTACCTGCACACTTCTGTGCAACTTTTTGAATATCCACCATTAAAAAGATTTTGCCTCACTTACTAGAAATAATAAAGGATCAACCTTTTAAAAAGACTTTTACTACACCAGAGCTAGTAGTTTGCAATTCCCAGTAGTTGTTTGCTTTTCAGGTTGTTCAAACTGAAGGAAGACCTGTTGTTGAGAGTTAGGGAGCAGACTGGTGAAAGCAGCTTTTCTGCAGGATTTTGCTTGATCATGAAAATGAAATAGACAAACTGTGTAAATCAGTGATTTGTGAGAGGGGAAAAAAAAAAGGGGGGGGGCTGCATGTGTAGATTCCAAATATAGAATTAGAAATATAATAGTAAAAAAACCATTACAGGTAGAAACCAGAAACTCCCTGTGTCTGCTATTGAGAAGCCCTTCAACTTGTGAAAATGCTTTTGGATGGCATTTGCTGTGGTTCAGACCGGAAGCTGGCAGTGCCTGCCACCTTTACCTGCAGCCTTCCTCGTGTAAATTAACTATGGAAACCACGGTGACGTTGGTCTCATGCTGTGATGACTTTTTTTCAAGGTCATTAATTCTACTAGGGTAGAAGTATAAACTGATAGTATTACAAGTGGCAGTATATACATTTGACAGAGCTTAAACCAACTGTGCTATAGACAGCAGTAATTATAAACTGTTTGTTGTCACTGGAAGAGTAACTTGACCCTCGAAAAGGATGCCATTCTGGAAGTAAGAATGAGAGATTTGATGAAGACAGGCAGTTACTCTCTTTCACCTTCTATAGATGTTTTAAGTGTTTTGAGACTTGTAGTTTGAGAGCGTACAGAGTTCAGGTGACTAATACCGTTTTGAGAAGCAGAAGACAAAATTTTCTCAGGAATAAGGCAGACTTGGTTGAATATTTGATTGTTAACATTTCTTCTTTTCTATGAATAACAGTCAACACCTTTATATATAGCTCTGTGTGGGTAGCAGCATTTAGGGGGAAGGAGTTGAACGGCTTTGTTGTCTCTGGTATTCTCTCACCCTTTATACTCTAGAAAACCCATTATGAATTTCGTCTTTCAGACTATTGTGTTACATAAAATAGAGAAAATTATGGAAGGGATTTGAAGCTAGTATTTGTCTAAAATTGGAATATTTTTATTCTGAGATTTTATAATCTTTTAAAGAGGATGGTCATGGGATCCTGTTGTTCAACACTAAGTAATTCAAGAGTTCTTTCATAAGTACATTCATACTTTATATTTTCCATCTATTTTATTAGGTTGACAAGATTGTGGCCATAGCAGAAGACATAAAGAATATAGGAAATACTTTCTTCAAATCGCAAAATTGGGCAGTGGCAGCTAAAAAGTATAGTAAAAGTTTACGGTAAGGCTATCATCATTCAATCAGGTAGTTCCCGTAACCCAAATTAATACTGCTATCAAGCAATGGTATGTGCATTTAAAAAGTGCCTGTTGCTGCGCTCTTTGCTTTTTTAAAAGAAGAGCCTTCTGAATCTTGGAAACATCTGGTTGATTTTAGCTGCTTATTCAAGTATAGGTCTTCTGCTTGTTGCTAGGTAAGAGCTATAGGCAGGAAGTATTGTTTAGAATTGACTAAATGCTCCTTTTTTAATACTCTTGCTGGCCTGGTGCATAACTGGGAAGAAAAGCACAATATACAGGGTAGTTAATGGGCAGGCAAGGAGGGAGATACTTTTTGTCTGATTTGTACAAAACAGTAGGTTTAGGAAATTGGTAAGTTCAAGAGGGAGTACCCCCAAATGTGACCCCTATTAATTAATTATTATTTTTTCTGAGGCTCCATACTATCATCCTGACTCCATGTATAATTCAGACTCGCCTTCAAAATCACAGTCTTTCTGCTTTTGTTTTCATACCGCTTCTTTCTTCTTTCCATGCTTTTTGCTTTATGTGTATGAGCTTCTCTTAAAAACTCCTTTTTAAAGTTATACTGACCTTTAGCCTTACCTTCTCAGTGATCACTGGTTAACTAGCAGTAACAATAAGGAAAGAAAAAGAATTCAGGTATATTTAATGCTTCAGCTGACTGGGTTTCAGATGGTGTCTTTCTGAAGCATAAAAAATGAATCCTTTAATTACAGATATTAACCCAAGAGGCAGCGTCTCCCCCTGCCCTCAAAAAGCCCATCCTAGACCAACCGAAACCCTGAAGTAAATACGATTTCTATGTAAAACTTTTAGAAATGATACAGAAAAGAGGCTGGAATGGATCATTAAGGATTTTTCTGTTGTATCTGTCCATTTCATCCCCCCATTCTTAGGTAAATATCAGGTAGAATTATGCCATCCCTTACAGTTAGTTGTCTTGCTCACTCTTAAGCACACCCAGTGCAGGCTCTTCCAGTGTGAGTAGACAGCTTCTGTTTGGTGCTTATTTGTCCCTGTGGATGGAAGGGGTAGTAACTTTTCCAGACTAAACGAATCTGGTCCTTCCAGCTCTTTAGAGGTCACACTTTTGTGGCCATACCCTGTTGTTGTATCTTAAAATCTGGTACTTCATGTACAGGCTGGCGTGCTGTCACTGACCCTTGGCCAGAACTGGTAGGAACACGATGGCTCTTACCCTGGGGTATCTGCCATGGCTTCAGTACGGCTCGCCCTGCAAACCCTCTGGCAACGCTGGTTTGCTCTTTTTACCAACAGTAACCTTTGTAACCTTCCGTTCTTTTTCTTGTCTTATTGCTGCTTAACCGTTTTTTTTAGAACTTACTTTATATGTAAGAATTGGCACTTTTTTGGTAAAAAAACGTAGTACTTCTTGTTGTCTCCCTTGATAATCATCTTACTGATTTCTTTTGACTTGGAAGCTCTAATTTTGTTTCCAGAACAATTGCAGTCTTTCATGTTTTGGTGTGTTTTATAAATATTATAGGTGTATTCAGTCTGTTTTGAACATAACACAGTTTTGTATTAAAACTGTCCTTAGCATTTTACCCTTTCCTCTTGCTTCTGGTTCTCATCTTCTGCATGATGCCCAGTAAGTGGAAAAAGTCACTGGGACTATGTCTTAATTTACTTTTTAAGTATTGCTTATTTTTGTGGTCTGAAGTTGTACACTAACCATGCAATACTCAAAAGACAGGGCATGCAAACTTACATAGGCACTCATCTACAAAGACTGCATTAATCGTAGCACACTTGAAATGTGAAAGTATGCAAACACATGGTTTTTATTTTTTAAATAAAAGCCACAGAAGTTCTCTCAAGTAGGCCATTAAAAGAGTTAAAACTTTTATATCCACAACAGACCTTTGCCACTTGAAATAAATCCTGACAGCATTAGCACACTGTAAATTAAGAAGAACGAGCTACAGTTTGCCTGTGAAAGAGATGTAGTAAATGACGTGGCTGAGTCCTGAACCAACGTCAGTTTTAAAGTTCAGGAAAAAAAAAGTCATGAAGGAGGATAGTGAAAAGAAGGTGGAGTTACTAATGCTCATAAACCGCCCTGCTTTGCAAAGTAAAGTTAGCTTCAGATTTCAGCCAGAAATGCCTAAACTAATTAAAGTACTGCTGAGGGAACTGAAGAGGAGATGAAGCTTCCCATGAATGTGGAAGGTGCAGTGGTGGTGTTGACTTTTTGCCACTGACGAGCAACAGGTTTTTTGAGAATAAACAGTCATTAAGATAACTTCTAATGGTTTCACGCCATCTAGAATCGTGCATTTGTCTAAGACAAAGAATGCTGTTAGCGCAGTGGAGGACTAGGAGTTACAGGAAGACATTCACCAGTGAGCTCAAATTGTGTCAGGGTAGGTCTTACATATTTAGTTTCATGAGTATTTGTAATAGTGGAATAGAAGCTGCTTTAGAAATACCAGTTTGGATAGGCCAGTTTGCACCTGTCTGTGGAAAGACGGCTACGGGCAGAACAAAATGGAAGTCGCAGCACTAACGCACGCTCTCTGTACGTCTGTTTTCCCGCAGGTATGTAGAAGCTTCTGAAGCAGTGGCAGAGGAGGCAGACAAACCAAAGTTAAAGACTGTTGCTCTGACCTGTGTTTTAAACATTGGCGCATGTAAACTAAAACTGTCAGATTGGCAGGGAGCCATTGAAAGCTGTTCAGAGGTAAATGTAGTATTTAGTATTTTGATTAACTATTGGCCTATATGGGAAATGGAGACTGAAACTACAAAGCTTTTTTAAAGAGTCTTCTGACAAGCTTGTGATTTGAAAGTAAACAAAGTAGGTGGCTGATTGTGACGTTAGTGATAACTTTTCAGTAAGTGGCTTTTTAGAAAGTTTTTTAAATTGAAATGACTCATTAGGAACAAACAAAAGAGGGTTGTCAGTTACTGCCAGAAAAAATGCACACTGTCATTGTCAGTTTAGTTTGCAGGGCTGATTTTTATATTACAAACAGTTAAGCTGTCTTCTGTGAAAGAGGAATAGTTTTCTCTGGAAGAGTATATGAGCAAAATGTTTTACTTGCTTTTAGATTTGATGGTCTTGTATTTTATTCACTGAAGTGACATTTCTAACTGAAGCCCTTTCAGGTAAGCTTAGTAGTGAAATGAAACCACTGAATAGGAAGAAGGAAAGAAGGAAACAATAAACTGAAAAATAATAGGATTAAAAAAAAAAAAAAGGAACAGGGACAGAGTCATACTGACAGAAATTAGTACATTTGAGGAAACTTTAAATAATTCAGTAAAACTCTGAGATTTTGAAGGAACAGAGTAAAGAATGCTTTTATCTGTTAGGAGAGGATTCTGAGGAGCATCCCCTAGGGCTTCATGCTGAAAGGAGGAGGAGTCTTGGCTAATCTATGTGTGAGGGGTCTTTAGAGAGCTGCCTTGCTTTCTAGCCTGCTGAGGGTGTTACCACATGGGAAACCTCTATTCAGAATGGACAAAGGGGGAATGAGGAAAGAAAAAAACACCAAAAAACTGTAAAGGGGTATCTGTCATCTAGAAAATGGTAAAAATTGAAACAGTATAGAAATTATTAATCATAATACTTGCCATTGTGGGAAAAAAAAACCCACTTTTTTTTTTTTTAAGATTACAGAATTGTTAAAGGTAACTCCACAGCTATAATCGACTTCTGTAAGATATTTAGCTTACGTCGCATAACAAGTGTTAAACAGCATGTCAGTGTTTTAATCAGAACACCAGTTTCCTAAGATTAACTAGTAGAGTTCAAGGTAGTTGTTAATGAGAAAGTATACACGTTCACTTTTATGATTTCCTGAGGCCAAAAGCGATTTAAATTAACAATCTGTAATACATGCATTATTTGGTGTAAATAAGGAATTACAAACAGCTGAACCTTTTCAAACAAACCTTACTTTAAAATAGCTGTGAGCACAATGGTTGAGCAAAAACCAAGGAATGCTGCCTATGTGTACACAATACAGACACCCAGTTCTTGACACAGAAGCAGTGCTAAACTTTATGGCAGACAAAGTGGGATGAGCTCCCAGAGTAATACTGCCTTTATATTTACAGCCAATAATGAAGTGACTTTAGATGATCTGGATGCATCATTTAATGTCTAGAAGACTAATGATTTAATGTTAATAAAGTAAATTAATAAAGCCACGCATTCATGCAGATTTCCTCTAATCATTAAGAAACAATATTCTTTAAAATAATAATTTTAAAAAGACACACTATAGAACGACCTGCAATAAGAAAAAAGAATGCAATCCTCACAGACAAGAAAACAAAACAGCCAGCTAGCCAAATTAGGTGCTTTGAAAAAATAATTTCAGTAATCAAACAGTGGAACAATCTCTTTGCCCAGCCACTGTATTTCCTATTTTGATATTACCATGTTAGAGCTGGCTCATACACAGTAGTGAAGCCATTCAGCTCAAAAAAAGTGCAAGGACTGGAACTTGGCAAGGGTCCTGAAGCATGAGACGGATGCCTCGGATGTATCTTTCTAGCCTACAGTGCAAAAAGCTTTACAGGAAATCTGTGTGTTTTCTTTATGACACCATTTGAGGTTTTTTGGTTTGAAGGAAGGATCTTTGCGATACAGAGGTTTGTACCCGTGAACCTCAGGGTTAGGGTAATGTGAACTGCAGCCACACCTTTGCCTGGACAGCTACAGCTAGCTCCATCTCTGTACCTGTGTTACACGCACACACACGGGTCCTGTTTCATCCTCACATGTGCTCGTCCTTCACAAACGACCACTTGTGCAGTGCTCTTGAACCCGGTGAGTTAGCCATTCGGGGTGCTACACTACAGCATTCCTCTTTACACAGTTAATGGTGTGACAGCTTACCCTGAAACCAACCAGGGAGATTGTCTGCTGGTGTGAACTGTGCCATTTGTGGAGATGGGAGGCTGTGAAGTACATGAAATGTTAATGTGACAATTTTATTAAATTTACAGGCTCTTAAAATAGATCCAGCAAATACTAAAGCTCTCTACAGACGGGCTCAAGGATGGCAGGGAATAAAAGATCTTGATGAGGCATTGGTAATGATCATAATATTTAATTATTTTTTTTTTAAATCTAAATGTTTTAACAGAACATTAATTTATATTTCTCTTTTATTTAAGGCCGATCTTAAAAAGGCTCATGAAATAGCTCCTGAAGACAAAGGTAAAATAAGGCTGTTTCTTTATAAATTCTTTACTTTACGAACATAACAAAGTAACCAGGGTAGTATTTAGTAGGAAGTCAGTTGTACCGGCGTGATGCCTAAAACGCTGGCTTCTAACAGCGTAAACGCTGATGTATTGAGCACAGAAAAACCTGGTTTTATACAGGAGTGATAATTCTGTTGCGCTGGGAAACCTGCTTATGTAGGACACCAGCACACCTCTTGAACCGGCTCCGTGTCTCACAGGGGTCTTACCAACTGTCTTCATCTCCTGGTGTAATTAGGTAAGATTTGTAGCCCATCAGTTCGGTGTTGGCACCGATACCGTGCTTGCTACACCCTCCTCTCCCTGGTTAATCTTACCGGGTAAAACAAAGGGACAAGAGGTTTTTGCTGCTAGTGTCTGATGTAATAGAAGATTAAATGCAGTCCTGTTAAATGAAGTAACACAACAGCAGTGGGAGCTGGTCTTGACTTATTAGGAGACTGAAGGTGAAGAGATGACTGTAACTGTGTCATGGATTTTCTTTTTAAGCAGCTATCCAGACGGAAACACTCAGAATCAAACAGAAGATAAAAGCCCAAAAGGAGAAAGAGAAGGCAGCTTATGCTAAAATGTTTGCTTGATTTTTTTTTTATCTAAACTTTCAAATCTATGCACTAACTCATGCAAATGGATAAATGGAGCCGCTTCATTCATTTGCCCTGTACTGCAGTTTTCACTGTTTACAACTCACAAGTCTAATAATAAAGACAAACTGTTCAAAGGTGAAGTGGTTTCCTTTTTTTAAGCTGTAGTAACTTGTTTTTTGTGACTTGTCTTTCTAATATGTGAATCAGGAGCGGTTGTGTTTTTGCAGCTTAATAGTTAGTGCTCCTTAAGAAGCTCGGTTTCACACCAAGGCAAATTAGGCAGTTTCTGTTACAGTTTTTATTAGAACAGGCCTGATTTCTTAAGAGGAATAAAAATGAAGGTGCAAGAATTACACTTTTTTTTAAACTTCTTTAGAAGTTGTACTGCAGATGGGCTCCCTATTATCAGGAAAAAAAAAATCTAACTGTAAATTTGATGTAAGACATGACGGTGACAATTTTATAGACTGTTGTATTTTCCCTACTGCAAGACAGGATTACATACAGTAAATCACTCCAGATAGAGAGAGAAAATGCTTCTTTTTAAGGGTAGGTACTAAATTCTTCCACCATACCCACAATTCTGGATATGGCTCCTGTTATCACTGATCTTCAGCAATAAATCCAAGATCCAGAGTTCCTTTGTCAGTCCTGAGAAGAACTTTCTTCTGCCTGCCACACAACTCCTGTAAAGAAGTCCTATTTAAATAAGGCTAGGGTGTAACCAGAAGGCACAGACTTTCCATTTAATGCAACGGTCATACCTAAAACTCAGAATGGCACATTAGTCTCTCACTCTTTAACAGCCAAGTCAGTGCTGTACTTTAATTACACTGCAGCGTAACATACTCCAACTTATTTGTTGGTGGTTGGAAGTCACCGAATAGATTTTCTGTCCATTTACATCCCATTATAAGCTGGTCCTCCTCCACCTTCAGGTACTACCCAGTTAATGTTCTGACTTGGGTCTTTAATATCACATGTTTTGCAGTGGACACAGTTCTGAGCATTTATCTGCAGTCTTGATCCTTCTCCTGTTTCCAGAGGAATATATTCATAAACTCCTGCAAAGAGCAAAAGAGAGCTATCACTTCGCTGAACAGTTTCCCCTATGCATACGCTCTGCTTCGTGCCAGCAAGGGTAACAAGGGGAGTGTGTTACTAGTGCGACTCGTGCCGTCTTCCACGTTCACCGACTGTTTCGCCATGAAAGCCCTGTTAACATCTATTAAGACCTGCACAGGAACCCTCTTCTAGGAGGAGGATTTGCTTGAAGTAAGCAGTAGGCCAGGTGGACTCCTCCTGAAGTACCTGATCTTTCATCTTGCAAAACCAGTTCAGACACAAATTTTGATTACCTACCTGCTGGACAAAACCTTTGCTCTGGTCCATCGAATACAGCCAGATTCCTGCTCACGGGGATGCTGTCATCTTGGAGAGTTAAATGAGCAGGCTGGTCGTGTTCATGGTTTGTACCGCTTAAAGCCACAGACGACAGGAGATCAAAACTGATTTTTCCATCAGGCTTTGGGTATTCAATAGGTGTGCAATCTTTGGCTGGCTTAAGCTGAGCAAAATCTGGTCCTAAATAGATTTTTAATAAATAAGTTTCAGTATAAAATTACTGTAATTTGCAGTTACTCAAGAACGATTTAATTAAGCTGTTTCAACTTCCCCTTGTCATCAGAATGAAGTATTTCATAAAAGGTAGCCTTTTTCACGAGACAAAAGGCCATGCTAAGTAGGACAGCGCTTTTGTGTCTTCATTTACATTATACGCCAGGTAGCATGACAAAGTCTACTTCAATGCTTCATTTCTTTTCTACTCCTCAAGGCCTCACCCCTTGACCAGAGATGCTCTAGCTTCTACTAAGACCAGAACAGACTGACATACACATTTAGTATCTTCTTTCAGGAGTCAATGAAATTACCTGGATGTTTTAGTGTCCATGGTTCCATTCCTTTCAGTATCCAATAAAATATACCCGTGTAAATCATTCCTCCATACACACCAAGTATGCTGTGGCAGGATGGTCGGATATTCCTAACCGCATGCAGCTCTTTCCAGACCCAGGACTTTTTCAGGTTCTCCTCATACTCTTGCACATCAAGTCCTAAGGCAGTACATTACTTGTTAGGTACCTACAATACATAGGGACTATCCTTGAAACAAAGAATAATTGCTGAACAAAGGCAGTTTTTAACAATGAAGGCAGCAAAATAAGAATTTCAGGATAGTAAGCTAGGAATACACTAGGTAACATATTTCAACCTCCTGAAAAGATCGGTTTTGCTGTCAGTTATCAGCAGTTATCTATTGTTCCTTTGTAGCCTCTGTTAAATGACCCATAAGCAGCATTAGGTTGCCTGAAACCTCAGCAAAACACAGCGAGAACTGGCCAGGTGGCTGTACTGGCACCTCTATGGGAAAAGAGCTACACGCTCATAGAATTTAAGAACTGACCAGGAGAGTTCATCTGTGATCCAGGAGCCAGGTTTGTAATTTTAACATCACCAAGTTCAAAAGCTTTTCCTTTACAAGTTACACAACCACAAACATTCCAGTTTCAGTAACTATGACTATGGGCCAATGGATGGTGCCAATACTAGAGAACATTTTTTCTCCCTTTGTAATCAGCAAGTTAATGAGACATACTTGACTACAAACTTTTGATTTAAACTCTTTGATTGTATTCTGTACAAATACTAAACGCTTGACACAGGACACATCTAGTGCCATGTAGGTAAATTATCTCAGGGAAAAAAATGTTTCTTAAAATGAAACTTTTCTGAGAGCTTCCCCTTTGCCATTCTCCAGTACTACTGTACCGGACTAGATGTTCTAAGTAGTAAGTTTAAGCCTCATCTGTACAGGAAAACACGCTTCAGTCCATGTTTTGTGTCTCATAAGGCTCTGAAAAAAGCTCATTATCTATGCACAGAGAAGAAAGTGGGCTGTAATAGTCTACTGTCTTGACAAAACTGGAAACGGCACATAAAACCCGTCCATCATCAAACCAGAGTGGCACACTACCCAGTAAGTATGTTCATGGTTTCAGATGAGTCCTGAGCATTTTAACCTGTTACACTAGTTGAAGTTTTAATTGTTCAGTGTACCCTCTGTGGCAATGTGTATTGCATGCTTCAGCTGAATGACAGCTCGCGGGAATGAATCCACCGCTACAGAGAAGAGACTTCTAAAATAATCATCATGGCTGTAGCGTCTATCTCCGGAATGACTGAAATCCGAATTGGGTTCTCTCTGTGCAGTCTTTGCTAACAGGTTTACAGGAACGACCAAGGCTTAAATACATCGCTACAACGTGGCCAAGATCAGGCGATCACTGCACTGTGCTTGCGTTACATGCAATAGGAAATACACAGAGCCTCAAACTGAGTAGACTATAAAATTAAAGACAGAAAAATAGGACCCAAGGAAAAAAGTATCTACTCTCACCCTGTTCTGCTTACATTTAATCTGTTCTTTTAATTCTTTTCTCTCCAATTCTGCAGTCTTTCAGTAACACTTTTTGAATCATAAAGCAGTAATTTTTAACATATTTGTAGGAACAAAATACATACTGTTCTTGTTTACTTACACAGGAAGCATAAGCTTATAAGCTTACTTTTCAGATGCTCATTAGAGGCATATTTTTGTTCTAGCAGTAGGATATATATATATAGAATAACTAAGCAAAAATATTAGTTTCTTCCTTTCTTAAATAATTTGACAGTATAAATAGATATCTTTTTAAACCACCACACTCATTTAATGGTTTATTTGCATTTCCAACTAATTCCTTCAGATCCATTTAGTTACTGCTAAGCTGCTGGTGATTCTAATTGAACACAAGGTAATTACAAATCAAGGTACAGTGATCTTACCTATTGTCTTTGACTGGAGATTTTCATTGATTAATTGGCTAAAGATGGCTTCTGAAGCCAACATGCCACTTTTCATCGCGGTATGTGTCCCTTTGATCTTAGGAACATTCATGAGTCCAGGACTGCAGCCAATTAATAATCCACCTGGGAAGGTGAGTTTGGGTATTGACTGAAGAGGAAACAGACAGAAAGGTGGTTGGTTTGTTTGTTGTTTTTTAAAATGAAAATAACGTTCTGGAATGAAACTGGCATGAAGCTTGAGTGTCCTTCACATTTTTAGACTTGCATGTGCACTGTCTAAAAATACACCAGAGTTACTCAATCAAGGAATTTTGGCGTAGTAAGCAAGTAAGAATCAGACATCATACTGGGGCTGAGTATAAGGTAATGACAAGACAACATTTTCTTTATGTCCTCTCTCCAGTTGCTTTATCTGCAATGAGAGTGTGGTAATGTCACCCACAAATACTGTTTTCCTTGCTTCAAGTTTAAGTGAATTCTTAAAAAAAAAAAAAAAAAAAAGACCGCATGTTTTCCACACAGTAAGTTGCATGCATCTCATCTCACAGTTGAGATTTTTTTATTACTCAGTGCTTTTTTCCACAAATCTTTTCTATGAAACTGCACAGTGCCCTCCCTGCCACCCCCCTTGCCCAGTCCTGCTTATTTTAGAAGTTGCTCAGTAGCCAACAAATGTATTTCTGGTGCAAAAGCATTGTCTTACTCCCGTTCTGTGAGAAGCATAATGTCATTGAGTATAGGTCAACTCACAAACCTAAGACAGCCAGATGATTTGCAAACATCAGATCTACAGTATTAATATTCTATATTATATGCCTGTATTAACTAAGAAATACTTCAACTATCAAGATAGTCACTCTCACCCTCATCCAACAAGATCAAGATTTTAGACAGGGAACAGCTTTGAAATGCGGACTGACTGCAGCACTTTGAGCAGAAAGGTGTGATCAAATCCTAGGTCTGAAATTGCTGAAGGTAAGTTATGAACGCAGCCTTCCTCCAAAAGTGTTTGGTACTGAGCAGCGCTTGCGAATCTAGCATCCTGCTTTTATTAAAGCTGCCCGAAATAATTCCTTTTTTAACAGCCTAAATAATTTGACCCCAAACAAGTAGTTTTATTTCATGAAAAGCGTCCAAAAAATGTATCCCTTGGAATACGAGATAATCTGAAACAAACATTTTGTTTCTCCTGCTTTTTCTGTTGGTACGTTTACTATTCACCCGCAGCTGGTTA